TCCAGAGGGTATTCATTGAAAAAAAATCTGCATCCTGGCATCAGGACGCATTGTCGCCAACGTGTTAAGGATTCACTGAGCCTTGGGTATGACAGATAGCTTATGAAAAAAATTCAATTCTTAAGGTTTTGTGATATCAGGTATCAGCTTTTGGTCAGTAGATTTTAATTTTCATTTATTTGCATGCCTAATAGTAAAATCTGATGATGTTGCATAAATAATTAAATCTCATTCCATAGCTGCAAATGCAAAATTTTGTGGTAAATTGGTTAAGTTAGAGTTGATCAAATATTTAAAGGTTAAAGAACATCACACCTCCTGAATTTGCTTCGTATTATGTTGTTGGAGCAAGATTGTAATTGTTTAAATGTATTCTTATCAAATGGGATCTTTTAGTTTCCCTTTCACCATCAAGATGATCAAAAAGTAAATAGGTGTATTGAAGACATCATAGTACAAGGAAATAATGCAAGGAAAATCAATTCTTGCAGCATTAACTTTTTTTAGACTCCCTGTATAATGTACTTGAGGTGATTTGTCAACTTGTATAAAAGGCATCTATTTTGTAATTCATTGCCTGCTTGGTCACTATTGCTGCAGAGTAGGTGACCATGAGACTCTCTCCAGTTCAGCAACCAGAAAGGGGTGGGAATCCAAGTCAAATCAGTCCAAGGGACTGGATCACTTCCCTCTTGAGTAGCAGTTCCCAAAGTGTAGTACATGTACTACTAGACACTGGAAGGTTCAATGCAAGTAGAAGAAGGTTTTTTGAAGTTAAGTATGGCTCTTGAGTCATGCTGGAGAGATAACTGGAAAATACACCCACCAATACCCTCATAAAGAACTCAATGAGCATTCCTAAAGCATTGTTATTCAGTACCAGAGCAGGTAAAATACATTGCATGCAGGAATGACAACTTCTCTTCTGAGAAGTGAATGCCATAATAATAAGGGAACTGAGAATATAGCCATTCAGTTCAGATGTCACCCCCTCATCTTGGTTGTCTTTATGTTGTGTTTCCAAAGCCTTAATGACACCTATCAGCTGTAATCACTTTGAGAGACCTGGCTCTTGAATATGAAAGGTCATTTGTATGGTGTGAAGGTAGCAGACTTCAACTGCAGCAAGGTTAAGACTTTGCACAAACATCAGAAGACAAACATGTTCAGGGTTGTGTTTGACACAGCTCATGACATATCACTGACTGCACTAACAGTCCTAAAACTATTCTGATGACTGAGTCCCTTTCTCAAGAGGGTCCAGAGCCCACTTCGATGTGAGATGGGGTTCTCTCGTCGTGTTCGCATGGCCACAATTGAGTATGGGAGGACCACTTCCGATGCCTGCAAGCGGTTTCGTCTGGTTTGCATGCGCTGCCGCCACTTGCAGGCCAAGAACAGGAAGACGAAGAACACCATGGCAACACCACCTATCACAGAACTCACCATTATTGCGCTTTGAGTTGCTCCTTCACCTGAGGTTTCCACAGTGGAGTCTAGTGGGTCCTCTACCTCTAATAACTGATCCTGATCTCCTTCTCCTGTGATGATCACGGCTGCGAGTGGGTCCAATACATGAGAGTTCAACTCAGAGTCATCATTTATCACATCAGGGGACAAGAATGTGAGAAGTTCATCAAATGATCCAAATGTTGCAGAATCTACTGGAGCCCTTGTGGTGGATGTAAACATCCTGGAGGTGATTAGACCACGGTTATTGGGTACATATTGTTCATGAAGGGGCTTGTAGGTCTTGTAGGTCATCACAGGTTGTTTGGTCATGGGAGAGGACATCACTATTTTTGGTGACTCTGGTGATGGAGTAGGACTTGGTTCTGTCAAAATGGCTCTGTTTGTAGAGATGGAATCCTGAATTGCAAAATCTTGTGCCTGTCCGAAAATCATGTGTTTGACTATGTCTGGAGGCATTTGATCTTGAATTACAAGTGCTTGCTGCTGAGTCATTAAATTTGTGGTTGTGGTAGGAATGGTTGTTGAAGGAAGAAGATTTTGGGGCACCTCTTTGAAAGTTAGCTGCGAAAAGAATTTGGTGAAATCCAAAGATGATTCCTGGGTGGGCTCATGTCTGGAATTATGAGTCTGGATTGGCTTTTCTATTTTCCTCCTACCCTGATCCTTGGAGCTAGGCCATACCAGCCCTATGTAGGACTTTTCATTCTCCTGTTGCTGATCAGATTGTTCTGTTGATGTAGTACTTGATGTAGTACTTGATGTAGCACTTGATGTAGCACTTGATGTCCTGATAGCTTGCTCACTGGGTTCATCCTCATCCTTGGGGTGATTTTGGGTGTATTCTTCAACAATTCGACGAATTTCTTCTGGTGTCTGTGCATTTGCTTTTCGAAGGAGCTCACCTATTGAATGACGCTCTCTGTCAACTTTATTGAAGTGTCTTTCCTTGTGCTCCAGCACTCTTGGACTCTCACTTGATATTTCTCTTGCTTTCTGTGGAAATGCTGTGGTTGAAGTTGTTGTAGTGGTGGTGGTTTTGGTTGTTGTTGTAGGGGGTGGTGATGGTGTTGATGCTATTGCTACTGTTGGTTTTTGTGGTGGATGGGGGGTTTCAGATGTAGCGAGTGTCTTGCTAGTTTCAGGTCCGTCATCAGTTGTTGGAATGCTTGCATCATCAATCCCCTGGCTTCTGTCATCATCCAGATCCCTGCCATCCATATTTGTGTAACGAGCAACTAATGCATGGATCTCCTCAGGTGTCTTTGCATGGGCATTCTGGAGGATTTCTCCAATGGTCAGCCGTTGAGCATTTCTTTCTCGCCATAGTGAAGGAGGATGAGCATTGTGTGCTGAATTTGAAATCAAGATTGGATTAGTGCTAGCTGTGAAGGGTAATACTGTTGTTGTCATCATTGATGAAGAAGATGATGTTGAAGTCGATGGATCTTCTTGAGAATTAGATTGGAAGAGGTCTTCCAGACGTGGAATGTTAAATGTGGCTCGATTGGCCACCGATTGAAGGAACTTTTTCTCCACCTCTCTGATAGGCTGAATTTCAGAACTTGGCAGAGGAATGCTAGAAGTACTGGCACTGGTTGGTGCTGGTGTTGGAGTTGTTGTTTCGTCCCACATAGCTTGTGTTGTCATTTGAGATTCCATGGGTTGGGACTTCACTCTGTGTGGAGGGACTGGATCTGGGATTTCACTGAAACTTGTGTCGTCAGACCTAAAATAAATGAAATCTCAATATTAGAATTTCTTAATTGCTGACATTAATTAATAACATCCGAGATGAAGCGATGCTTCAATTCTATCACTGAGATGAAAACATTGATACCTTTAAATCTTATTGAAAATCCTTGAGATCCTTGTGAGTGACTTGGGTTTTCAGAAATTTTCGGTACTTTAAACAGCGATTCTTGATGTCCCCTCTACATAAAGCAATTGTCTCCCAATGTTCGGTCGATTATTATCTATATTTGAGTGGCATCCAAGTGATTAAGTGAGAGGAATAGATTCTAACTCAAATTATACCAGTGACAGTAGTTGCCCGTAAGAATGTCCTGTCATTTTAAATTTCATGGGGATACAGTGTAACCCAGGAAAAAAGAAAGGCCTTCAAATCCGGCAGAAGCTCTTCATTAGGTTAGCTAGGTCATCACTTTTGTCCAGCTTTGAGTTGGTGAGAGCAGCTGATGTCTCACCAGATGGTGCCTGCAGCCGATTTTGACTGCGTGTCATCGCCTTGAAGGAATTCTTCAAGGAGTTCCTCTTCGGAGTCTCCTTCCTCCTTCCCAATATCAGTTGTCTCCAAGAAGTCCTCGAAATAGGAATCTTTGGCCTGGGTGGGCCTGGGGCTTGCTTGAGTGGCTCGGGGAGCCCACTGGTTGGGACCGATATGGGCAAGTTGATGCCTGGACTTCTCCACCTTTTGCATGTAGGGCATGGAGAGGAAGCCGAGGAGTCGCGGCGGCCGGGGGCTCTGCGCCATAGAGCTCCCTCTTGGAGAGCCTGGGCCTCCAGGAACATGGTGACGGGCTCGAGGTCTCCTCTGTCTCTCTACCTCTGGCAACCCCCTAACAACATCAAAGCACCTCTCATTCAAATGCAAATAAAATGGAACACGTCGGAATTAATGAACGAGAAAAATTAGGGCTACCACCAAACGAAGCTCCTACAAGATGGACACCCCTCCTCTGCTTGTATCGCTTGAATTCTCAGGAGATTTAGAAACATGTGCGGGAATAGGAAAGCTGAGACAGTTCGACCGAAGCAAAACATCCATCAATTTATGTAGTTATGAAGCTGATTGATGTAAACGTCAATGCCCTGCTCTCTTCCTACACCCGTTCACTGAGGTGCCCGGACGTTTGCTAACGGATCTTTGTTGCGATTGACCGAAATGAAATATTCGCACTCGATTGGGCCAGTCTTGAGACGTGAAACCCATTGAAGCTCGTGGTACGTGCGACCATGTACTAGTAATTAGTCTCCAGTGGTCACGGTTGGCTATTCTGGGATCCCACAAGGAGAACCTTTCACCGGGATAATCCTTTATTTTCCCACATGCTACCGTATCGGCGGATTAATCGATCACATGCTTTCGGAATCTCTTGCGTCATCATCGGAGAAAGTTTTCTCTCCGTCGCGGGTATTCCATGGATTCCATGGATCTCCTGCCGAGGCGTGAGAGTGCATTTCACTGAAATGGCCATATTGGGTGAGATGACCCGTGAAGGAGAAGGGATGAAAAAAAAAAACTTGCCTGGGGTTCTCCTTTTCGTCTCCCCAGAGGAACTCACTGAGAAGTCGGCTGTCCGGATCGTCCAACAGGGCTCGGAAGTCCTGCAACGAGAAACGAAACCGTCTCTGGTCCACAGCCCGTCTACATTCTCATCGTGTAATGATTACGTGACGCTCTTTCGCTGAAGATCTTTAGGCCACAGATCAAATCTACGTACTGTGAAGGAGCATCGCCTCGAAAGTGGACTACAGTACGCGACATATCGGGCAGAAGAATCACTTGCACTTCTTGCAGGATAAAGAAAACATTCTATTAGTTTTGCTCTATTGAAGTACTGAAATGAACGACTAACAATGCTGGAACAATGCGTGAAAGGAAAAATGCTATTTAAGAGTTCGTTGAACGTATGTCTTGCCGGTGTCATAAATTATAGTTACTTGAAGAAAAAAAGAAGAAATTGTTTAGGTCTTCTCTTCTGGGAATTAATCGAGATGTTCTTTCTGAATTCTGGTAGAATGTTCTTTTCACAATTTTAATGTGATGATGTGCTCCTTAGAACCTCTCTGTGGACCGCCAGCGCGAGCCAGGTTGACTTTCATGGTTACCTTTCGTGTACTTTTCTGTACTTCCAGAAATGTATACGAAAGGTAAGCATGGAACATTCCGAACATATAAATGCAGTCAAAAGTGAAGGACGCATAACTAGTTATTTTAAAATATTAATATGCATAGTTGACTGCAGAATTGAAGTGCGGTTCCTTACAGAAGAAAATATTCATCTCGCCCCTTCATGACTTTTTTTTTTTGCTCGGACTCCGATCGGATTAAGTTACGACTTCTTTGAAGTAGTCTGAGGGGAGAATTTTTCTTTTTTTAAGCGACTAGAGCAAAAAGAATTCATTTCCGAACCGAATAAAAAGGAGTGCGACTGCGCGGATCAATCGAAAGCTGACCTGAGGGGCGCGGTACTGGGCGAGCCGAGTGGCGAGGACGCGGTCGATGCTGTCCAGAGGCCAGCCTCCCGGAACGAGGACGCAGAGGAAGAGGAGGGGAAGGAGGACGACTGCTCCCCTCATCTCCCTCAATGAACGGCGGCTTCTTCCTCGTCTGTCTCTGATCTCCGGGACTCTCCTCGGTCATCGCGCATCCCGCATTCACGTCTGTAAAGGATGCAAACGAGGGTTCTTCGCTACTTTTTTCGAGTCGCGATGGTATCCGTGCTTCTAAAATCCACTGTAGAGATGGTTCTGTTGGTTTCAGTCGAGTGGTATTTCTCTTTCACTCTTGGAAAGAGGCGAGAGCTAACCCCTTTTCCTCTCTTTTTGCTCATTTTCCCTCTCTTTTTACTCTGTAAAAAGAATAGAAAATTGGAGTAATTTTCCTCTCTTCTCTCTCGTTTCTGAGTAAAAAGAGAGGGAAACTGGAGTTAGTGCTCTCTCGTTTGTAAGAGTGTAGGGCCCAAGGAGGCCTAATTTTCCTCTCACCATACCTATGGTCGATATAGCAGTCGGCAACAACCGAAATTTAGATTGTACTAGACTGAAAGCTTTCTCTGAGAGGAATCTGTAGACTTTGGCATATCTGAACATTAATCGCATGTGAAAGCTTACGGAGGGAAAAGGGGGTTGAAAGAATCAATGTGACACGTTGCCTAATTCTACAAGCCCTCTAAGTGTTAATTCTCTGAGATTCCGTGCACAGAGGCTGGAGCGTGCAATTAAATGGTGCTGTGACCGAGGGCCATTCCATTACAGACCCAGTATATCCGCCTTGCTTTTCTTCGAAGTGGTTCACGGAACGCGGCGCAAAGAGGTCGCACTGCACTCTCATCATCATCGTCTCGTCGTCTGGGGTTCACTTTCTCGCTTTGTCGTTTTCTCCGTGAAAATCGAATTCCTTCACCCGTGATGACAGGGTGATTTTCGGAGCCCTCGGTCGCCCGGCGTGTCACGACATTCGTCCGGTTAATTTGCCCAGTCCGTTCCGCTCGATCGAGCGCGCTGCCAGTGCCCCCCGGCCCGGTCTTTCACTTTCCCACATCCTCACCTTTCCATCCTCACGGGGGATGGAGCTCCAAAGGGGAGGGCGCATTGTTCCACGTTATCGAAGACGATATCGAGTTCATTACGGCATCGTGAAATCGAGCATGCAATTTTTCACAAATGAGATCATGTCGGTCGTGGTTGCAACATCATCGTCACGATCTCTTGTGTCTTCAGGAACTCGTCGGCGGGATGCTTTTCAGCAGTCGCAAAAAAAATGGAGTTCCTCTAAAAATCGGCTGTTGTTTTATTCCCTGTACTTTCGGACTCAGTGCGGAGTATTCTCGCGCTGAGTTGCTCTTATCATTCACTCTGCAGCATTCCTGCAGAGGGAATATGAAAGACTGCAGTATAGATGAATCCCTGGGATTTTTCTTGGTTTCTTGACGAAGTTTTCATGAATTCCGCAATACGTTACCGACTAACGGAAGTTTGAATTGTAGGTCATGCAAAGTCCTACTTTCGTCATGGATCCTCTTGAACCCAAACTGGCAACATTTTTTCTGTACAAGTATCGCGTCTCTTTAAAAAAATTTCTCCCCTATTGGCAGGGATTTGGATGTTCTCAATCAAACTGTAGGCGATTGTCTGGCAGGAGCATCTCTGTCCTCGAGCTGCAGAATTTCGTCATAGGGTAGAGATTCTCATCCAAGCAGCTCTTGTTACTGTGGTGTGGATAGGCGCACTAAGTAGGGTTGCCAACTCTTCGAATCAGACTTGGAGATCTCACTTTTGGGAAACTGGTTATGAGAGATTCACGCTATCGGGTGGGGAGGGGGGGGGGGGGGGGGGGGGTTCCATCTTTTCCTGAAGATGCTTCAGTGAAGACCGCGACGGCTTAATGACAACTGCCACGATTCTTCCTCTCGGCTACCGCTATCTTCAAGCCTCTGTTACATGTGATAGCCGTCGCCTTATACTTCCCTATGGACGTGGATGAGTGCGAGGTCTCATACCAGGGAATAGCCTGTGCATGTTGTTTCACATCCTTTTGTTCTTCCGAATGAGACCGGGAGAATCCCGATCTCCCGGCATCCTTTGCTAACCGGTCGGGAGGATGGGAATAATACCGGGAGACTCCCGGTAAACCTTAGGAACCTTAACACTCATCGGGAGGTGGGGGTGAGGGGGAGGGGGCGCTCTCCCGCACACCTTTGGTCTTCAACTGGGTCTGACTGAGGAGTGAGGGGTAAAAACATTTTGCTCTTCCCCATCCTCAAACTTCGAGAAACTTTATGCGTCCGTGGCGTTGGCATGGACTTGACTCCGTAAACGCCTAAAAGTTTCTTCTGCTATGAGACAATGGGTGACATGCACCAGATTCGTTTAACTTTAAACTGATTCGTTTTCATAATGGGCGTCTATGGGAATAAGTTTATCTCTGTTAAACTGATTTCCATAGGGTTGTGGGATCAGATTAGTTTAGCGTAAACGGATTCGGTGCATGTTACCCAATGTATGTTTAATCTCTCTATGATGACTGAAATAAAAGTTGTGCTGTTTGAAATGCTGAACCAACTGAGTAATTGTAATACTAACTCACTTGTGCCAGTTCCGATGTGAAGCTCCCAAGATGAGAAAATCAGTCTGTGACTTTTTTCCACGATGAGGCCATGATGTAGCAGCCTTCTTTAATTACCTGTAATGTGGTTCCGAAAGCCACTGAGGCGGAAACTCAGTGGGCCTAATTGATCGCCGAGGCTACCAGCAATGCTTTAAAAGGTATTTCCTTTACTCGGGATTTCCACGGAGCGAATGAGGAGTGTCTGAGATGGCGGGAAGAGCGTTTCACGTCACCTTCAACCTCGTATAGGGACGACTCAGTCACGTGACCTTCAATCGTTTCATTACATGCAGCTTCCTAGTGTTACAGCGTAAAAGTATACATCCTGATAAGTGCGTTTTTGTGGGACGCTTGTTATGGGCACCGGAGTATTACTGCGATACAGAGGTATACTATAACGTTACCTTGGAATGTGTTCTTTTTAAAATTTTTATTGGTATCACAATATACCTGTACCAGCTTTGGCGGCCGACGTCAGTTCTCATGTCTCTGGTGCGAGTTCGGATGCGAATGACTGTGAATTCGGATCGACTTCTAACTTTAACTCGTCTGCTACTTCCATACGAAAATTAGCGTTATAAACTTCATGGACAACTCCGCTCTGGATCCATAAGTTGGCTACGTGCCTGTTGGGAGAGAGGGAAAATTTTGCTTCTCCTGGTATATGTACCGTGAAATAGTTGTATCGTGGGACCCTGGCGCACTCACGTCTCCCAGCCTTTCTGGTAATGGAGAAGGTAATTCATAATTTATCTGGCAAGCTTTACCTTTCACAATCGAGGGTTGGCCGGTTTCATATTCTTACCCCACACTCAGGATTTGCATGAATGGGACGCAGGGCAGGTTTTTCCCCATTGGATTAACCATGAACGTCAGAGTAAACTGCATTATATAAATAGGTCTGCTGAAAACCTTGAGGCTCGGCACGAAGCTCTAACTTGTCTGTAATCTTACTATTGGGTGACAATTTTCGGTTGTGTTCTTTTGGGGGTGACGGATATCACTGAACTTCCAACATACCCTGTACCGGCCAGAATTCTATCAGGGGTTCCAAAATGAAGATCGAGATTTCATGGTTGGAGATTTCTTGGTATTTTAAGATTTTCCCCAGAAGGCAATGTTGAACGAGTGATTAATGGACCCGCAGTGACAACCTTACATTTAGACGATCATAAAGCATTTAAAAGCCGGCAAAGTCATAATTAACGTTGGGCTCGCTCGGTTTCCGACTCGGTCGAGGGAAATGAGGACACACCCAACCCTTCTCTTTATCGAGAACGCAGGATGCGAGACCCAAATGGCTTCGACTTCGATCGCTCTACCTCCTTTGCTTTCTTGCAGAACTCCATTTGTAAACGTGACAAAGGGCATATTCGAAGGCCAAATGCTGGTAGCGAAAGGGAGGGAGCTCTAGCGAGCCGAAAAATGTCATCCATGAATGAGGACTGCTGACAGTGGGGTCACGGAGAGTAATTATGATTTATTATGATATAGCGGGGAGTCCGGATGTTGGACGCGTGGGGGTTTTGTTACGAATGAGTGCCCTATCTTCCCAACCAAATGCATGCATTTACGATATGAAATTACCTTTTCATGCATCGTTTCGACAAAAAGTCTGTGCTCATGAAGCGAAACATTTCTTCCTTTCATGCCATGAATGCACTTGACCCCCTTTTTTTTTATTGACTCGATCTGCTCGTCGGCTACGAAAAGGGAATGTAACGTACCGTGAGTCCCACAGAATTTTCTTCTCTCCCTGAAACAATAGGTAAGGAAATGGATGCATAATCATGTGAATCGTGTAGAGGAGACAGCCGGTAGAGAAAAGTACCCAATGGCCGTCTTTAAGACGAAAAAAAAAAAAATTAGAGAGCATCTGCTGGAGGCCTGGACCGATCCGGGGCGACAGATGACGCCTTCCTTTTTCCGGATTATGTAGAATGGCTCCGGCACCACATGATGAGGAGCCGAGCCCCCCAAGGAGAAGAACGGAATGAATGAAAGGAAAGGGAGAAAAGGGGGGAAAAGGACGCGGAAAAAGGAAGCTATCGAAACTAGGGCGATCCGCCGCGGCACCTGCTGTCCCTTGTTTCCAGGTTTTTCTGTGACGGGATCGGATTTGACGAGTCAGCCAGGTCACTTCGCTCCGTCGAATCTTGAATCTCGTCCTTTCATTGTTCATCATTTCCCGAGGGAATCCCACGAACCGGAAAGCAGGCTGTAACGTGGACGAAATTGTGGGGAACGGTCCAGAAAATTGAAGGGAGATCGGTGAGGATTTCACGGGGCGCTAGGACTCGATTCTCAAGTTGTACGAATTTCTCCTTTAAGTGGATCAGTCCCTTTCTATCGGCAAGGGTTGCTATTAAAGTAATGGAAATTCTTTCCTCTGGAAATTGCAAACCAGATGCATTGATATCTGGTCCACGTGTGTTCTTTCTACGAAATCCCCTACAATTGCATGGCGTTT